ACTCCGACCTTACAAAGCACTTTCCACAAATGAGAAATCCACTACACAACTTGTCTTTTACGCAGTGCATCAGATGTCGTTTCTCTCTCCTGCGTCGTCTAAATACGCTAAAATAATAAACGTCTGCATATCCCAACCTCTTCTTCTCTTTCATGTGGATTTGAACGTTCCTCAGATCATTTCTTCCTGGTGTTGCAATTTTAATAGCCAGCAGTGTACATATAAATAATTTCAAAGTGAAGTAAAAAGTCGGAACGTAAATTAAATATAAATTTAGTTCCAAAAAATAATAAAGGCCAACCTATTTTTTTACCTCCGTGAAATTGGTAACAAAAACCGAATAATGTCTATTGAATGAAACATATTTAAAAAACATAAGTTGATACCATTGATAGTGACCGATGATAAAGCATGGGTTTACCTAAATGAGTGCTATAAAACAAAGTCTACTTACCGAAAATGAAGAGAAAAAATGTACAAACCTGGTTCCGTCAATGCAAAGAAAATTTCAGTAAAGAGCTTACTACTGTCGCGGAATTCTCTTATAATGGGAAATAATAAATAAGAAAACAGGAAAAAAATATTAAACTCAAGGTACTATCATGAGAAAGTTGTACGTCCAATATTTATAGAAGAAATTCCATTTCTCTATCCGAACTGACTTTCAAAGAACTTCATGACGACAAAGCAACAAGACATACTTCGAAAAGTACCACTGCATTCCTTCAAAAAATGAAGACTGATACAGGTATTGCATATATACTTTTTAAGCATTCCTGCGAAGTTCCCTGATGATGGACTGTTGTGCCTTGCAAAACTGTTGCCTTGGAAATCCTAAATAAAGAGTCTCTTGGAAACAGCGCTTTCTAAGCGCAAGCCCACCATGCTTGATGGACCCTGGAAAATAGTATCACAGGACCGTAAATCAATGCCCCTGGAAATTTTATGAAAACCCTTCTAATCTAGAAATCACGATGCTGACTTATAGTCCAGAAAAAAGGCTATCAAACATTTCAAAAATACTCTTTACATTTTAAACATTAATTAAATGGCCCCAAAATCGTTTTTAAAATGTGTAAACACTGTCTGTACATTACAAGTTCTACGATTTACATAATGTAAAAGTGTTTCTTGAAGATTTTGAAAGGTATACGATTATAACAACTTAACGATATTATTAAAGAAAAACAAAAGCTGTTGACATCAGTGAAATTATGTATGCCAAGGTTCATCAAAATTGTCGTCGGTTACTATTTCGACTTCAAATTAACTTCACATATTATGATTTTTATAGCTTATAAAATACATTTATATCATACCAATTTTGATATGAAGCGTACTCAAAAATACACAGCATTTAACATTAATCTAACAAAATTCCGTATGAACTACCTAATCCCGAAACTATTAATGCCTCATTAATGAATAAAAACTTCCAGTACCTTCATCAGTGTGTAAATACTTGTAATGAATACTTCAATTTCGAGCCAAAATTTATCTCAGTTTCATTTGCCATAGCTATGTAATGATTTAGGATGTGAGAGGTTACAAATAATCGTGACAGATGGCTGTGGATGGTCTAATGCATAATTGCTTAACGCATTATACCTGCGATCAAGCCTACCTCTTTTGAGGATTCAACACACCTTATTTCTGCACAAAACAACTCTTGAGACGCATATTCTGATTCATACATAATTATGGGTACAATCTGCATACAATCTTCCTCATATTTTAAAGTTTTTCAGTTTCTTAAGAAAAACACAATTGATGAAAGAGAAATGAGCAATGACATAAACAGGAAGCAAGCAAAGCAGGAAAGTGATGATAAAATACTGGGAGAGAAAAACTAAGCAAGCAAAGCAGGAAAGTGATGATAAAATGCTGGGAGAGAAAAACTAATCATGGTTTCCTAAAGATTTTCGATTTCGAACCATCGTGATTGTTTTAAAAGCATACCTGCTTCAGCACCGTTATATAAGATTGCATGACTTGTATAGTTTGGTAATGAAGCAGTTTAAAGAGATGGAGCTTTATACCGTTTACTATAGCAGGAAATGCCCAAATTAAGATGGTGGTGGTGTATTGAGAATACGGCAAAGCACACTAGGGCTATCTGCCTAAGGGGAGGGATGCCTTCGTGGAGGACTTTCTAAGGGAAACTGGCGTATACACATGGGGAAAACTACGAAAACGCCCATGCAGCCAGCCCGTTCGCGGGATTCGAACCTCGGACCGAACTACCAGTGTTCAGCAATTTTACCGCTCGGCCACTGGTGGGCCCCCCAAATTAAGATGAAGAGTTAAGTTATTAATTAAAATGAAGAGTATTGCAAATTTAAGTTAAAATCTTAATTTGCATAGTTTTTAACCTTACAATGTACATACATTACGTCTTAAAATAATGATAGTATAAATTTTTAAAAACAGTAATTAAATTAATTTGACTTAAAATTTTGACAAATTACGAGTTACAGAATTTCAATCAATACATTACACATTAGTTTCAGAAATTAAAGCAAACACAAATTGTATAACGGCTCCAAAAATACTAGATAAATTTAAATGCTTGTTAGTAAGAAAAATTCACAGCATGAGAAATTAGAATAATCATAATGACTAGCTATGAACAAATTTGAGAAAAAGTACCAAAAACATGTAGCAATTTTTCCCAAAAGAAAGTTAATACGGACTGTGAATATTCGGGGTAATCATATATCTCAAAATGAGCTCTCTTACCAGTTACGAACAGAGTTGTTGAGCCATATTTTGTGATAATACACCCCCAGATATACATGCTTTTCCATAGCCTAACCAGAATTCTCAGGTACATTATTTTCCAGCGAAAACTGTTAAAGACTCCAATGCACACTTGTCCATTACAGTCCTTATGCGTCCTTTACTTTCGCAACGGCTGATCGTAGATATATACACTCAAGAGCCAAAACATTATGACCAGCCCTACATTTTGCGATGAACGCGCCTGGATGACGTGGAAGGCACGTGATCAGGTGGAAGTGGTATTTAATTGCTGCTGGAGAGTCTGAAGAATCATTCTGTCACTTACTTTTGTGTGTGATGGGGAAAGGCTGCGGATCTAAGCGACTTTGATAGAGGGCAGATTGTAATGGCTCGTAGACTCGGAACAAGTATTTCAGAAACTGCACGACTCGTGGGTTGTTCGCGATCTACAGTTGTTAGTACGTATGAAAAGTGGATGAATGACGGTGAAACCAGCAGTAGACGACATGGTGTTAGACGTCCACACGCTATCAAGAAAAAGGTCGTCGGAGACTGTCTCGCATGGTGAAGCAAAACCGGAGCCAGACAGTGGCTCGGCTGACAGCCGAATAAAATGCAGGGCCAAGTAGAAAAGTAACGCAGCACACTGTTCAGTGGACACTGTTGGATATGGGGCTACGCAGCAAACGTCCCACTCGTGTGCCTTTGCTGACTAAGCGTCATCGCCAACTGCGCCTGCGCTGGGCCCAGGAACATAGCGACTGGTCCATGGATCAGTGGGAGAGAGTTGCTTGGTCAGATGAATCACGGTTTGTTATTCATCACGCCGATGGCCGTGTCAGGATACGCCGTCTTCCAGGCGAACAGTTGCTCCCTCAATGCACAGTAGGTCATACACAGGCCGGTGGTGGCGGTATTATGCTCTGGGGGACGTTCTCTTGGGCGTCTCTGGGACCCGTGGTTGTGGTAGAGCAGACCGTGAATGCTACAGGGTATCTGAACATCACTGCGGACCAGTTGCACCCTTACATGGCCTCTGTTTTTCCAGCTGGAAATGGAATGTTCCAACAGGACAACGCCCCGTGTCACAAAGCTACAATTGTGTTGGAGTGGTTCCAGGAACATGATGCTGATTTCCAGTTAATGTCCTGGCCGCCTAACTCACCGGATGTCAATCCGATAGAACACATTTGGGATCTCATGGGACGGCAGCTCAGAGGTCAAAGACCACCAATTCGCAGTGACCGTTGCTACAACATCTGGTACAATCTGTCTCCGGCCATCTATCAAGGACTTGTGGCATCCATGCCAAGGCGGGCTGAAGCTGTGTTGCGCGCCAAAGGTGGCCCAACTCGTTATTGACAGGTCAGGTTTTGGCTCAGGTGTTTGTCAGTTGTCAAAGGTTTTGTCAGGTGGTCATAATGTTTTGGCTCTTGAGTGTAATTGAAGTGCAAAAACACTCCTCAATGGCGCCAGGACAAGATAGACTCGTCTGACTGGTACAAAAATGACTGGTACAATAACATTATTGGCATTTCAAAGGAGGGGCTCTTCTGCTGAAAAAGATAAAGACATAACACCACTCACTGGTCATCAAAAGTGTACAACCCCATCTTAGCTAGATATCTATTCATAGTTTTCCTAAAGAAAATTGGTTCACTGGGACGGGTTTTTGTCGACACAACTGTCCGGCTGTTGCTTGTCTATGGCGTCGTGCATCTTATCTATCCCCTCATGGTACAGAGATCAGATGTTGATACTTTTGTGTAACCTTAGTTTGAAACTCTGGCATCTTATCAGTTTTTTCAATATTGTTTCCCCATAGTCATCTTTTTTAAATCTTCAGGAGTTGAAAGTTCCACGTAGTTCTTCAAAAATGGGATCTACTGTCACAGTTACTTTAACAACCACATCAACAGCAGGAGATTTGCTTTCCTGTTTATTACTCTAACTCTGGACTGCTAGTATATGAGTATTTCTCACTCAAATTTCTAAACTCGTACTTCTCAAAACAAGAGTATAAATATGAAGATTAAAAACTTTAATCGTTTAAAATCCATAAATAAGCATTGGGTTTTGTCTCCTGTGAACTTAAAATTTTAACTGCAATTCAACTTAAAAAAACATATGTTAAATAGAAACTTAATTTACTGAATTACATTATTCCTGAAAGAAACTAATAAGTCGTGAAGAGGAGAAATGCAACACTAAATAAAAAATATTAACATTTTGAATTAACAATTTTTATAAAAACGTACCCTGAGGGCCTGGGAAACCTTGTTTAGGCCACCCGAAAGGATGCCCATCGGTATCAAGAAAAGTGTATTCTTGCTCTAAACCAAACCAAGGAGCGAAATCCTTGGCCTTTGTCATAGCTTCCGCGAGAGAATGCCGCTTATTGGAATCTGAAATAAAAACGTTAAACACTTCAATAAAGTACATACATAAGTAAAAACTATTATAATAATTGAATACATGTAACGGGATATAGCATCAGCAATCTTATAATCAGAGCCTGATTATCAGCTAGGGCTCAGATTTTAAAAGGCCACATATTTCAATCAATGATTCAACAGAATTCTGTTTTTTCCATCATAAAAATAAATGCTCACTGGAGGCCACAGAAACAAGGCGGTGTTTAACTTAATGAGACCCTAATTACACAGTATTCACAGATCCTATTACACCTCTTTACACAAGTATTAACACGTTCAAAGTGCTTTTAGCTGTAGCTTACAGCAGATTAAAATAAATGTGAAGTTCCAGTATTAGCAGCAAGGTTGCGATTATGCAACAATATGAATACGTTTGCATTTAAATGTAGTCTTATTACAGATAAAAAAGAACTGCCTTGTACTTTTTGTATTCTTATTCAGTGTAAGAAAGCAGAAAAATTAGTGACATTAAAATTTGCTCTACGATTTTTAGTTTTTTTACCGTGAGAAAGCGTAACATTCAGTGACCGAAACGCTTAAAAACTTTACAGGAAATAAAATTACTCACATTTTATATTACACACTGGGATAAAGCTTCAGTTGCCAAATTCTCATAGATCAAAATTTAATACTATACTGCCAACATTTTGGTAAGATAAATTATTTTAATCATGCTACGAAACCAAAAGAAAGCAGTATTTGCGTTACCATTTTTCTACGGCATCGACACAATAGATTAAATTTGGGTATGACGAAACGCTGGAGATTGACTGAACACAATTTACAAAGTACTGCATTAGAAAAAATTCAATTTAATATTACCCTAATTCCAAGGGAATGTCTTTAAAACTGAAAATCACTTTAAATTGAGCCAATTACCTGCGCAAGACTTACCTTTTTCACATATGATCCATATGATTTATTCTTTTCATTCAGTTACGAATTTAGAACAATGTGAGAAAAGTGTAGCATAATTTTCCTAGCTTCGTTGTTTGATCCTTTGCTAATAACTCACAACAATGAACAAATGTAAAGTCGTGCCTAGTAAAGTTCATATACTTAACGGCACGGCTGCATAACTGCTGGCTGCCCCTCAGAAAATCTGTTGGGATTCTGCTTAGGTACCTCGTCACAGCTTCTTCGACTTCCAAAATGAAGTTAAAACTTTGGCCTTCAGGCAGAAATTAAATTTGGGGAATAAAAATTAGTCAAATTCAAAGGTTTCAAATCTGGTTTATAAGGTTTGACAGCGGCCGGATTTTGAAGGCTTGATACCGTCATACAGTCTTTGCCAAAAACCTAAATGCTTGCTCCACAAGGAATTAAAAGAGCTAAAATAGTTATGAAAAGTAACTGCTACATATAGTTCGATCACATTTCAATCGAAAATTTAATTCCAATTTTCTATAGTTGTTGTATATTGTATTATAACATTAAAGAGTGTTGAAACGAACAGTACTTCCGCAGTTGTGTACCTGAAGCTGCTTCCCCTCTTTAATAATACATTTCCCACATTACACTATTACAGAATGAAAAAAAATTACCATGATTCCATCCTATCAGAAAGAAGCATGTACTGAAACGCAACACCAGTACAGTGAGTTCGTATTTTGAAACAATTTCTTCTCTTTCGAAAGGAAGATACATTCTGCTACACAGTAGTGAAAAATCTCTTTACACAGTATTTAATCTGGTGCATGAAGAACATGAATATGTAAGCCACAGAGAGACTTTTATCTAGTCATAACTTGATGTACGAAGTCGATTATAAGACCTGCGCAAGCAGTACCTCCGGCTCCACTGGCTAGGCTTGCAAGATGCCATGACTTCAACATATCTGCAATGCATTCTTGGATCTTCTAAAAACATGCGGAAATGTAGGTACATTAAGAAACTGAGACAGTTCGTGCAGCGTTTAAAAAATATTACCTACGATACTGTTATGAATTTTGTATGTATGTAAATAATTTTAGTGACATTATATGTAAATTGCAGTACCTATCGTGCAATGTCACATAAAAGGCCTCAGAATGCGAAGTATCGCCATTAACATTGAAGTAAATAAATGGCTATCTTGCCAAACGGGAACATAGCGCCAAACTGACGATTGGTTTTGTCGCTAAATTTCGCGAAAAGGTTGGCGACATTTTGGTCAGATCAATGTGTAACTGGTCTGATCCCTTTACAACTTTATTCGGCCCTATGTAACGGTAACTGCGTGTGCCTTCCGGAAATTTCGGGAAATCGAAGGTACTGGACATTTCTCGGCGGACGGGAGAAAACTAAATAAGACTGGAGATATCAGTTTGCAGTAGATTTTAAAGTAACGAGACAGCACCGTGCGAGCTTCGCTTACTTGTGCTTTGCTTTGTGTTATTTTTAACGTTGTTAGTAGTTTGACACTGTAATTACTGATTGTGTTCTGTCATACTGCGAAGAGCTGTACGAGTACTTTTGAGCGAGGAGTTCCATAACAGTTTTTAAAATAAACTCCATCAAGCTAACATCGGTTCTATGAGCATTTTATTCATTATTACGAACCCTTATGCACGTAACAATTCGCAGATGAGCAACAGCTATCCGCAAATTGTTACGTACGAAGACTAATGTTATGCTATTAAACATTGAGGTTTTCAACAATTATGTTTTTTTATTTATAGGATGCAAGATATAAATAAAACTGCAGTCATCGAGGAAAAAACAGGTAAATCAACATAAATCGCAAGGGTCTAGGATTTAGAAAACGGGAAACATCTTTTAATTCCCATGCGAATTATCGTAATATTTACGAATTATATTTTATTTCATGTAAGTTGCTAGACACTTACTGTAACGTTGATATTTAATTGTGACCTAATTTCCCCCTCCCTTAAATAACCAACCTTCTAGAGCCAGGAATTTATCCTACAGATGAATAATGAACTAAATCTTCAGCGATATTTCTTGTCATAATATGCTTTGAAATATTTTCAGTAAAACAGACCGTAAAAGACGGATTTTTGGATTTAATAACCATCTGCGATATGAAAGTGAAAATCATGATTTTAATTCTTATTTTAGCTTATTATTATATTAAAATTTGAGTAGCTTTCTCAGACTTCAATTAAAAATCATCGAAACGCGTCAAGAGTAAAATTACAAAGTTCCCCGTTTCAGAGAGATGAGGAATAAATTTGATTATTACTACAGCATTTTTGAATAAATAACTACTTTCAGAAGAATCAGTTCTTGGACAACGCATTGGTATAAGCATCCATCCATGTCAACAATTCCGAGCTGCATGGTTACCATGGCGACGCTGGCTTACCGGCAGAGAAACAGCCTCAATAGCTCCTACATCCTCCAAATTTTGGGTCAAGGCCAACATTCATGGATGCGTTAATAAAAATTTATCGGGTTAATTTTTACGGAAACAAATTACGAGTTTCACTTTCACCACACAGTCATAATCATAATTTATCTCCGATTCCAGAAAAGCAGTAGTAATTCCCATTATGAGAAAAATACACAACAGGCTCCATACCAACCACACTGAACCTTTTTTTTTCTCGCGAATAATATATGCTACGCACGCCGTAAGACGGTAATTCTGTACCTCAGAATACATTGCATTAAAAAAGAAGGTTATATAATCCAAGGGTTTATTTTAAAATTAATGTGATTTTTGACACTAGGAAAAAATTTACCGTTTCTGAACAAACAGGTTTTTAACTGCTACATTGTTACATTACTATATATGCTGCATGTAACTGCTTATATGCAGCATATATAATAGATATAGATATATATGCTGCATTCTTACTTTGATATTTTCTTTTTTACTGCAGCTGCCAACACAAAGCATGGAAATATTATTAAAATGCTCTCTCCAGAGCAAACATTTCATATCAAACATCTATCTCGTTTTGCAAAATCAGCAGCGAACTCTCATAACTTTGATGTTTTTGTATTTTCAGCAATTACGTCATAGCATGAAATATGGAAGGCAGTTAAAATACTTCGTACTCTGCCACATAACTTATATAACAACTCGCTCATCTCTCTCATCCCACTCAAAAATCTTTCGAAACTTAAATTCCTCCTCGCAGATAGGGAGGGGGGAAGTAACGAAGCCCTCACACTCAAACTTAAGTAGCAGTTTGGTGAAGTGTTATTTTGTTGAGTAGTTTTGACTGAGGATTTGAAGATTATAAGTACTCACATCTGAAATATTTAAGTATTAATTAGCCAACAGCATAGAAGAAATGTTTCTATGTAAATGAGTCTACGCCTTAAAACCATTAAAATGATGAAAGAAATGTTTTCCCTTGAGTAATTAAATTACTTGCCCTAATAATATACCAACACCAAAAAAGATATCTCGCCCACGTAACGAACGATCACAAAGCTTTTTATTCAAAGCTTTGATACTTTCCAAATAAGCATGCTCTTTCTTTTCTTTATAGAATAAAAATGTTTAAAATGTGGCTTTGTAACTGCTCGTTTTATCAGATTAAACAATACTTTCGTCATTTTTTTCTCGTAAAAATTTAAGTTGCTTTTATCCTTTCTCCTCTAACGAAGACTACTATAGAACGACAAACAAAGTCACATTACACGCATAATTTGGTCCAAAACACCAAGAAAGCATTCAAAATATTAGGGGCCGGGGGCAATGTTCAATGCATAGGCAGGTATAAAATACATGAAAGTATTGCATATAAATTTTCCTATCGCTACACAATATCGTGTTAGCGGCATGTACACGATAAAAATGTCGGATACACAGAATATCAAATGATTTAAACTGGGGCATTCGAATTCTTGAAAGATTGAAGGTTAGAAAATTCGAATCTTCATACTTTCTTCTTCATTCGAATCTTTCGCATCGTAACTTAAAAACTCGGGAAATGCTTTATAACTCAAAAACGATTAATAATGCTGACCTCAATTAATTAATTAATTTTTTTTTTTTTTTTTTTTTTTGTGAG